TTTAGTCGTAATCTCACTTTTTTTTAAGGTCACATATTATTTATTAATAACAAATTATAAATTTTATTGATCACATATTAGTAACCCAATTTATTGGTTATAATCACCTAAATAATTAGTAGCAAATCTTCTTTATACAACCCCAACCCAAACCCAGCACCACAACCACCATATGCACCACCATTGTCACTGCAAACACCACATGTACCAACTATCACAATCACCATCTCCATCTCTGTGCACGTTCATATCGCATGGTCTTGCCACAGTAAAATTTTGAACCACCAAATGCCCTTTATCTCCATTTCCACTTTCCAATCTATCCACCCCCACTCCTTTTACCTCCCAATTAACCCGAAAATACAATGTCAATTTCACCAACTTGTCATTGAATGCATGTGTCATCGTCACGAACTGTGAGCTGAGTGATCTCTCAATCCAATGGAGCACGAGAGGAAATGGGAGAAAGGGGAAAGGCAAAAGGCGACGCTCGGTGTAGTGTCAATCGCTACACTGACGCTCACGGTGACAGAGATTTTGACCAGCATAGAAAAGAAAAGAAAGTGTAATCACATAAGAGAGAAGGAGAATAAGGTCGCGTGATAGTGACTAGAGCCTGAGAGAGAGAAATTAACATGATTTAGGGTTTGAATGGTGTGAATGGGATAGGATGGATACATAAATTAATTTGTAATATTATTATTAATATTAAAATATGGAATTATCACCCAATTTTTGTATAAACAAATCTTAAAATTGATTTTTGAGATTGGAACTTTAAAAACATGGATGAGTGTAATTCTCACTTGAGTTATTATCGATGCCATATAGTTAGCAGTGTGAACACATGCCATGTCATGACAACCCGGAACATCATAAACACGACTAGGCCGGAATCAACCCGATCCCTAGTTGACCCGCTTTTGTATTCGAATGGGAAATTATAAAAACTCAGGTATTTAAAGATAACTTTTTAAAAATCAGGTCTAAATTTTATTTATTCAAAAATCAGGTGAT